GCGCAAGTGGAGAGGACCCGGCACTGCAGCTGCGAGGCGGGTTTCCAGCTGAGCGGCACTGCGGGCGGTGACAGCGTCTGCCAGGGTAGGTAGGCAGGTGCGCGGGGAGGAGACTCGAAGTGGGGGGGACACAACGGGGTGCCCACCTGCCAGACGGGCACAGCAGGGGGGACGCAAGAGGGAAGGGGCACCACCACCGCCCTCCCACCTATGGGCGCACCCAGTCCGCACCCAGAGCGCAAAGGAGGAGCGCGGCCTCAGGGATCCCAGCCCCTGTGGTTTTCGGTTCCTGCTGACCTGGTGGCTGCTGAGAAGGAGCTAACACCTAGACAACGAGGGCCGCCATGAGCAAGTAGCCAGGGGTCCCAGGCTCACCCCCAGGCAGAACCTGGCCTTGAACTCCTTGTCCCTGTATCGTGGCTGGAATCACAGGGGTGGGGATTCAGAGCTGGGCACGTGCCTGAGGCTCCTCCCTGCCCCTCTGGGCTTAGCTTTATGGACAAGGCCCCTTCTAGGGACCATCTTGCCCACCAAAGGTCCTTCTGAAAACAACTCAGGCCAGTGGTCCAGACCTGAGAATCGGTCAGTTGGTGCCAACAGCTTCCTTTTACTGCAGCAGCAACAAGACCCAAAGAGGGGGCCGCAAAGTGGGCCGGGAGTCTGGGGTGCAGCAGGCACTGGCTCTCTGGGCTGCCCTGGGGGCCTGCTTGGCCCTCCTCTGTGGGGTCTGCCTTTCCAGGGTCTTCAGCCTTAGATGGAGGAGCCTTGGAAGCTGTCTGGTCAGCTCCCTCCCTCCTCCCTATGCCCTCTGGCCCTTGGCTCTGCAGAATGGGAGTGCCCCCCTTTCCCATGCTCTGCTGGGGACAGGGCTGACTGCATGGCCCCCGAGTTATCCCAGGCACTTCTGTCCCCAGATGTGAATGAGTGTGAGCTCTACGGGCAGGAGGGGCGCCCCCGGCTCTGCATGCACACCTGCGTGAACACACCTGGCTCCTACCGCTGTGCCTGCCCCAGCGGGTACCGGACCCTGCCTGACAGGAAGAGCTGTGAGGGTGAGTGGACCTGCATGAGGCAGGTGCTGCGGGGCTGAGAGGGGCTCTCCGCACCTGGCCACTGCTGCTCCTGTGACCTGCCAGGACTCCGGAATGGGATGCAGTGGATGTTCCGGGGGTCAAAGTCTCAGATATACTCAGTCTTTAAAAATCCACCAACAGCCGGGCCGGTGTGGCTCAGTGGATAGAGCGTCGGCCTGTGGACTGAAGGGTCCTAGGTGCGATTCCAATCAAGGGCACATGCACGGGTTGCAGGCTCAATCACCAGTGGGGGGCGGGGGGCGGGGGGCGTGCAGGAGACAGCGATCAATGATTCTCTCTCATCATTGTTTCTATCTCTCCCTCTCCCTTCCTCTCTAAAATCAATAAAAATATATATTTTTAAAAAAACAAAACACCAAAAGCCTGGCAGGTGTGGCTCAGTGGTTGAGCAAAGACCCATAAACAGTTCGATTCTCAATCAAGGCACATGCCCAGGTTGCAGTTCGATCCCCAGTAGGGGGCGTGCAGGAGACAGCTGATCAGTGATTCTCTCTCATTAATGTTTCTATCTCTCCCTCTCCCTCGCTCTCTCTGAAATCAATAAACAACAACAAAAAGACCACCAACAGAAGGACCTCTCATCAGGCTGCATTGGCATTGCCATAAATAGGAAAGCAAGTTGCTTAGCCATCCTGGCAAATAGTCTCTTCTGACCTTCTGCAAGTAACTGCTCGCAAGGTCAGGCCATGTCCTCCCCTTCACGATGCCTTTGGCCAGGGTGGGACCAAAGGAAGAGCAGCCAGTTGGTCCCCGTGCCCTGCAATCTGGAGGAGACATGAGGCTCCGGGCGTAACGTGCCCTCTCCATGGCTGGTGCAGGCCTGCGTCTCCATCTGAAAAGGAAGCACCTTACAGCCACTATGCTCTAGTGAGATCACCCCACATCTCAGCCCTGGAACCCCGATGCTATAGCAGGTCTCTGGGTTGCAGAAAACTGGTCTGCTAACCCAGGCCTGCCTCGCATTAGAGGAGGGACAAATCCGTGTTCCTCAGCTGTCACCCATGGAGACAGGACACAGAGAAGAACCCAGCTGGTCCTGGACTGTGGCTCTGAGCTGCTGGGGGAGAAGGAGGAGGAGAGAGGGCAGAAGGCTCCATAGGCTGTGGGAACCGAGAGGAGGTGGCTCCCCGGTGACATCCTATTGAGGTTCCACTGCAGGACTCAGAGAAATGGTAACCGGGGATTGGTGTAGGAGAAAGTATCCAGATAGCCATCATCTGTGCATCCACCCATCATTCCATCTCTCTCACCCATCTCCATCTGTCTCCTCCATCTATCCATCTCTTCTATCCATCCATCCATCCATCCATCTCTTCTATCCATCCATCCACCCATCCAGCCGGGGGACCCTGGTCAGGGGCCACCAGATGCACGCACGCCAGTGTGGGCTCTTCCTCTCTGCGCCACATCCATCGATCTCTCTGGTTCCCCGAGGCAGGTACTGGGGACGGAGTTTAGCTTTTTGTGTAACCAGAGTTTTGAACCTTTTTATGGAAGAAAATTCAAGTGGAAGGACCGATTCACAGCCTGAAAAGTCCCCAGGTTGGGGCTGGGCTGAGCTGTTTCCTTGCGGCCACCTTCACGTGTCAGTGTTTCCCCTGCAGACCTACAGAGTGACTTCCTGTCCCATCACACCTGCAAGTCCGCGGCTGCTGTTAGAGGCCAGGCGTCTTTAGAGCTGGGCAACTATTCATCTGAGTGGTGGGGAGGTTGTCCGCACGGAGTCCCCGCCTATCTCCAGCCAGAAGGCCTGGGAGACACACCGTGGCTGCAGTGCAGATGGCAGGAAAATGCAATACGGATTCGATAGGGGTGGACGGGGTTCCTACACTGCGGTGCAACCAAAATGACATAAATAGGTCAGATCCTAAGTATATCCTGCTCCTTTGCCCCCAAAGCCTGGCACGTCCTGTGTGATTTCTGTGTGGCATCTCAGTGTGGGGGGAGCATCGGACGGTTAGCACAGTATCCGGAGAGTAGGAGCTTAGTCAAGACTCAGCGTCCTTGCACTGGACTCAGCCCAAGGTCACCTGTAAGTGTTGCCCCCAGAGATTTGCTGCTTTACGTGTCCTGATTCCATTCAGCCTGCTGGGAGTTTTCTCAGGACGAGGCTGCCCTGCCAGGAGCCCTGAGTCCCTCCAGCTGGTCACCAGGGGGCTGCTCTGTCAGACGGAGGTGGGAGGTGGGCCCTTCTGGGCAGCCCCACTGCCTCTCCTTACAAACAGGACAGAAAAGGAAATGGGCCCCTCGCAACCGAAATGTGCTGGTCCTGGAGGCTGACGGCTTCTGCCATCAGGACCTTTAGGCAGCTGTTCCTCAGGCCCAGGGGCACTTCATGTATAAAGTATCCCATGATGGGGACCCCCCACCCAGGAAGGGAAGGAGGGAGTGACGGGTGCACCAAAGCCAGCTCCCGCCTCACAGCATCATGGACCTTCTACCAGACGCCCGGGAGCTTCCTCACCTGTGTCTTTCCAGCCCCGTGGGGGGAGTCTCCCGCTCAGTACTTTTTCTTAAACCCAGTCACCTGCTTTTTCTGTCGTGGTGAAATGCAAACAACATAAAAGTTGCCATTTTAAGTGTAGGGTTTGGTGGCAGGTTCAGTGGCACTAAGTACGTTCACGTTGTCCTGCAGCCACCCATCCCCTGAGCCTTTTCACGTGTCAGAGCTGAGACTCTGCGCCCAGCACCTCCCCTGGCAACCCTGCTACTTCTGTCTGAATCCGACTCCTCTCGGGACCATTAAGTGGCAGGAACCCCACAGTCTGTGTCCTGTTGTGCATCCCCTTACTCTCACCCCCATTCCTACAGCCTCCCCCAACCTTTGACAACTTCCAAAAACGAACACTTTTTTTCTGATTAGAAAGTTGATTTCTGTTCTTGGTTCAAAAACAAAAAGAAAAA